TGTCATGGGAAATCTTTCAGAGATTGAGTTAAAATTGTAAAAGCCCAGGTCAGATAAGGATACCAATAGATCACATCAGTACCACACCCAACCCATTTCAAGTATATATGTATAGATGTATAGGATGGTACAAGGACAAGGAGAGATGAAGGAGAAACAAAGAGTGATTGGAAGGTACCTGCTTCCAGGCACCTTCCAAGGTTCCCAAAATAAAGTGTAGCCTCAACCCCCCTCAGCCCCTCTCTCTCTCTCTTTTCCTATAAATTCTTTCTTTCGATCTCCCTTCTTTTCCCACTTCCACTTTGACACATATTTTGCTATCTGACATCATGCCTCTTTACAACGTGAGTTTGGCTTTGTTTCGAAAATTATCCAGGCTAATGTTTCTTTAGATCACTTTGAAGGCCGACGCTCCCGTCGAGGAGCTGGAAAAGTGTGTGGTATTACCAATATCTCAAAGACCTTGATACTAATATATCTTCTCAGAGCCAAAGATACGGCCAGGGAGAAGGGCGGCGTCATCAAACATGAATACAGCATCATCAAAGGCTTCACGTAAGTGTTGCTGGTTCGATCTATGCCAGGCGCATACTAATATATGGATCAATAATAGTGTCGAGTTCCCCGATGACACCGTCCAAGCCTTCGAATCTACTGAACATGTCCACGTGGAACAGGATGGCGCAGTGGAGACTCAGTAGATGTCCCTAGTCAACGTGACTAGGACTGAAGACTGCAGTCACTGTGAATGTTCCGCTTTATGACCGAATGGAAACATGAAATTTGGGGGTTATTTTCTTTGCTTTTTTTTGTTATGCTTCAGCGAGATGACTTGATACCAATTACGCGATCTGACCTCATCCGCGATGCCATCTGCATCTTATGAGTACCCGACTTTTCTAAAGAGGTACAGGCATTCATACAGATTGAACAATTTTCCTGAATCCAACTATCAGGTTGAGTTATGTGTGCATAGTGTTTATGAAGTTAAACTTGAATGAGCCCTGTGCAACTTCCGAGAGTAGAAATTCAAGTTAATGCACCTTTCGGTGAAATATAGCAATCTCCGAAATTTGATCCTTATTGATCTGCGGTATTGGACCGATGATATCCGCACCGCCGATGCAGATCTTCCGTCCCGAGGTTTGAATGTGAACTCCCACTTATCTCCTCTCTATCTCATAGCAATTCACAATGACAATCTCGATACCTAGAGCTATGCCTTTTCGGCCTGGATGCCGGGCCCTTCCGACTGCCCCTCGCATTTACGGAATTCTTCGGCAATCATCCACCCAGAGTGAAAACTGGGCTGGTCGCCCATTTGAAGTCGCCAAAGACAATGTTGCGCAGCTGGCTGCGAGCCCCCGTCGGCCATTGACACTTGCAGACCTATTAAAGTCAGTCTTATTTATACATAACGTACACCAAATTTGAATCGAAATGTGCTAAATTCATGTCAATCCCTCAGACACGGCCGCCCGCCATTGAGCAAAGAGGCTCTTCTGGCCTCTGCCAACTTCACACTCTCCCTCCTCCCCGCCCGACTAGCTTCTCGGATCCAAGCTTTACGAAACCTCCCTTTTATCGTCGTCTCAAACCCTCACGTCTCTAAAATTTACCACAATTACCTCCATTCGTTATCGACCCTCATACCATATCAACAGCGCCGCATCACGACTCTCGAGGAAGAGAAACAATTTGGGGATGTACTGGCAGACCTCGTACAAACACATACAAATACAATCCCCGTCCTTGCCCGCGGGTTTTTGGAGTGTCGGAAATATGTCAGCCCGGCCGATGTGACGAGCTTCTTGGACACGCATCTACGTGCGCGTATCGGTACACGTTTGATCGCAGAGCAGCATCTAGCTCTTCACTATGCCTCTCAGCCCATCAGCGATAACCTAGCCGATGACACTGCCGCACCTTCGCCTAATACCTCAATTCCATCAAAATATATCGGCGTCATTGATACGGCGTTGCAACCGGCACGCATCATCCGGCTATGCGAGGATTTCGTTGGAGAGATATGTGAGCTCAAGTACGGAGTGCGACCGCGTTTGAAGATTGGAGGTGAGCCTGAGGCCACCTTTGCTCACATTCCTGTACATGTGGAGTACATCATCACGGAGCTGTTGAAGAATGCATTCCGGGCAACTATTGAAAATGGAAATGAGCGTGAGCCAATCGAGGTGACGATCGCTGCTGCTCCAGATGTGCCCGGACATGAGCCGAAGGTTCCGGGTGATGCCGATGCTGGCTTTGAGTTTGATTCGGGGCTTTCCAGCGCCAATGAGGATGAAACCATTGGGTACTCGCCTCCGTCGTCTCAGAGTATCACAATTCGTATCCGTGACCGTGGTGGTGGTATTCCGCCTGAGGTTCTTCCCCATATCTGGTCATACAGCTTCACCACTTTCTCCGATACGGACTACCAGGGCTCAGAGAACGGCAACATGGATGCCTTGAACACGATCTCTGCTAGTAGCGGCCAGCTGAGCAGTATTGCAGGTCTTGGTTATGGGCTGCCTCTCGGCCGAGCCTACGCTGAGTACTTCGGTGGCAGCATTGCGGTGCAAAGTCTCTGGGGATGGGGAACAGATGTTTATTTGACGCTGCAGGGAGTTGGGAGAATCGATTGAGAACAAGCGAACGCCAGCACTAGATACCCTGAACAAGATCATCCTTTTTGGCTAGTACAAGCCAACTCATGATCTCTGCAGATAGCTTTGCCTTCTACCATCTTGCCTTGGCCGATGGCTGGATAAACAGATCTATGAAATCCGAGATCAAAGTATCTGGATTTTGAACAGCACCCAATATCCGACCGATCTCCGTCGCAGAGAACATAAGCCCCATATTTTGGAAAAACTTCTCTTGTACCGCAGCTGGTGTCTTGGGATTCCGCGCATGTCCTACGGGATATTCAATTAGTATTTGAGGCAATGAGGACCCATCTACAAGATGGACCGTCATCCCTGCGCCAATACTCTTCTTGTCCAGATCCAAGTAGTCTTCCGTGAATTTAGGGTCGGACTGTACCACGATCCTTTCTCGCAGGGCTTCAAGCTCCTCGCTATTCGCCCATGGGCTTTTGTCTGAATAGTCCGCAGCCTCTGGCGGACTACCCTTCAAGAAAGCCAAGGCAACCACATACTGAATGCAGTGGTCGCGATCAGCGGCGTTGTGCAGCGGCCCATGTTTGTTGATGATCAAAAAGGCAGCAGCAGTTGTTCGCAGCTCTATTCGCTCGATCTGTTTGATAGCATCGGGTAGTCCCCTCTGTCGAAGTTGACGCACCTGCAAAACGGCTGTCTCCACGGCCGAGATCGCATGCCCTTCTACGGGCATAGTTTTGAACAGCACATTCTGTACAGTCCACAACCCAAATGGTCGTGGAAGTACAAATCTTGTCTCCCCAAACGTCCGCTCCCAAAACCCCCACGGCTTCGCACTCAATGCCCCCGGCGAACCAGGCTGGCCGTCCTGCACCAGTAGAGCCAACTGCACGGCTCTTCTCGCTGCATCGCCTGCTGCCCATCCTTTTCTCGGGATGGTATTTTCGCCGGATCGGTATACCCGGTTCGGATGACCATCCATCCAAACATGAGAAATAGTCGCCATAGCTTGTCCATCTGTCATCCCAAGCAACCAACAAACAACAGCAGCAGAAGCCAATTCCACCAGTATCACATGGTCGATTCCATAAGCATTAAACGCGTTCCGCATTTGATAACACCCCTGTATCTCGTACGCCTTGACCAAAGCAATGAGCAGCGTCTGCATCGTCAACGGTGGACCATCATGACCCCGTCGGCCAGACAAACTTGCACGCGACAACCAATCCATGACTGGGAGTATAGCACCGAGATTATCTGCAATTTAATCCATATATTAGTCTCACGATCAAAATTTTCCACATGTCGTCAACAGACCATACCTGAAGGATGTCCCCACTCCGCACCACCAAGCGCATCATTATGATCTAGGTACCGGATCAGGACACCCAGATCGAAAGCCCCCTTCACAGGATCGACCTGCAACTCCGTTCCTGGGACTTTGAATCCATCCGGCACGACTGTCCCCTCGACCACGGGGCCGAGCAGCTTTCGGCATTCGATGCTAGTCGCTGCTGTCTCGATGGCGCAGCCCATTGCATCTAGCAGGGCTGTCCGTGCGCATTTCCAGATTGCTTCGTCGTCTTGGTTAAGGGTGTGGTGGTAGACATAGTTTACTATGTCGACTATTGGTTGGTCGTATGAGCGAGGCATTTATGTATGGATGGGGATTTTAGTGGGGGTTGAGTTACCCTAAGACTAATTTGTTGTAAAATTGGGGAGACGATAGAAATTGAAGAATTTGGCAATATTATGTGCAGGATACATGTTGTAGAAGTCCTCGGTGGATTTCCTAGAATCATCCCGTCGCATCATAGGTCTCATAGTAACACTAGGTCACCCTCTTCGAATGACTCTCTATGGGCATTGGTCCACTGCCACTCTTTTATCTCAGCGAGAGCGTTTATCATTACGATTATTTCTATACCCTCCTATCTTTTTTTTTTCACCCCGGTACATAAGTACCGTGAATGCGATAAAACACAATGTAATTTGTTACCAGGGCAGCTGTAGTACGAAGTGAAATTCGCAGCTATCCCCTTCCGTAACGACCTCAGGAAAGCGCTTCACCCCTAGTGTCCTTCGCCCTAGTTCTCCCAATCTCATGCTCCCTGCCAATGGCGTTCGCGAAATGGCCCAAATACCTGATGGATATCGTCTTTCTGTGTGTACGACGCTCCCCTTGTCACACACGGTGTTGTACAGGTGATGATCGCTAGTAGGGCTCTCGCACACTACGGCCTTTGCCTTCTCCCCAAGTATCTTAGAGGATATTCTCATAGATCATTCATTCATATTGTCAAAAGAGATTCTAGCATAGTTTCCCAATCTCTCTATATCCGAATGTCCCGAGATAGAAGCAAGCTCATATGCAAAGCTCTTCTAGAATCCACCAGCACCTCTCACCCGCTGTACAGCGCCAACGAATCCCTTGGCCCAACTGAACCGACCCGGTACGGGCCCAATCGAGCCCGCCGGAATCTCGTTAGTCTCAGGATCATGCCAGCAGCCATCCTTCTTACTCGCAGCGCCATATTTAAGAGTATTTTGGTTGCGATTGATCAACTCTATCCAAGACCGACAAACGAGCTTAGAATCAATAAGAACATTCACTTCCTGGCTGTGGAAGAATGACTGGGTGTCGAGGTTTCCATTGCCTAGAGAGATTGTTAGGTGCTTGGATAAAACATACTTCTCTCCTAGTGCTTTGGGGACCTACCTTGAATCGCAATCTGCTCATCAACAATCATCAACTTAATATGACAGCTCCGCTTCTTGAAGCTATTATGAATCAGGCGAGTCTGGTCCTTGCCGACATAATAGCATATCTGCAGACAAGACTTCTCCTCGTCGGTATTGAGGGAGTTGTACATCCTATTCGCAATCATTTCGTTGGTTCCATTTTGGAACGGGAGGAGCTCTCCTGCGTCGTTATAGCCAAGGCATAGATAGCAGGATACCATGACGCCGCGGCGAACAGCGTCAATGAGGGGTTCTATTAGAGGCTCAGCGTTCATGTTTGGTGTCTGTATAAGGATGGAATGCTGGGCGTTATTGATTGCGGACATCCACGCCGAGTTTTGCGGGGTGTAGACGCTGCTATGATTTGGGGCTTGAAGAAATGAGAGTTAGAGTCATGTTCGGCCGCCTGAAGGGGATTCTCTTCGTGGTTTGGACTTACACCCATATGGTTCCCTGTTTACCATTGCCATTGCGAAGGGATCGTGGCGAGGTAAGACCATGTAAGGGTTGAACATATTATCCTGGTCACTTTCTGGTGCATCACCGGTTGTGTCAGGTTGGATGGTTGTATCTGTGTTGTTATTAGTAATTGTCGTAAATAGTGCACAAATTTCACATACTGAGATGACGGCTGACCGCTTGTGTGCGCGTTTCGTCACCTTGTGGGTGAATACAACCGTTGACTCTCCGGGCCTCTTGCTCAAAGTTTCCATCATAATGTGGAGAGTTGGTAGTATGCTCAGGAAGGGCTATATCTCCATTCTCTGTAGAAATACCATTTCTTTCTTCATGGCATGGTATCGGAGCATCTCTCGCTGGAGAGTTCAGAAGTGGGAACGGGGGGTCGAGAAGCTTTCCCCACGACAGCAAAGCAGTATCGTAAAAAGAATCAACAATCGGGCCCTCGATATGAGCTAACATCTCAAGATTTTCATTGTCTTGGATATTGCTGCTCTGTATGATAGCAATGCGTCGATCAATAACAGTGAACTTTGCATGGAAAGTTCCAAAGACAGGCCGGTGGAAGTTGATGACTTGGAGATCGACGTTGGGGATTTCGCTCGTGGCAGGTAGCTTTACTTTTCCGCCCACATATTGTTCCTCGCGGACACTCAGTCTATTCTCCCATGCCTAGTGGTTCATTAGAATTATGCCTGCAGATCACATTCGATAAACATCAGAAGTAAGAGCACTCACCTGGCGAGGATCTCCACGATCATAGATCATCTTCATAACTACTTTTTGACCCCTTTCACCTGCTCGTTTGGAAAGTTCCCGAATGGCATTCGTCACTAATGTCGATGCGTCCGAGTAGATCCAGAAATTGGTACCCAGAAAGACTTCATGTTCGGCGCGGACGATACAATTTGCTAAATGGCGACATAGATCGGGTAATGGGGCGACAATTGTCAGTGGTAGAACTCCTGTGCTCCCCATCAATTGGGGCGATACAACGCCAGACATTGGGTTTTTTTCTAAACAACATAAGGCGTCATAATAAACCTAGTGGTCAGGAGTTAGCTTCTTCTCTCCCAATGTTGAGCATGTTAATTCACCTTTAAAAATAGATCACTCGTTTCCACAGACCCAAAGTTCCCGCAGGCGCGAGCTTTCTGCAGTTCATTCAACGTTTCCCATTCCGACGCTTTGTCGCCATCTGATTCTTCCGCGCCATATGTATGTGATGCATGATGACTCTCAAACAGCTTATGAAAAACCTCTTGCGGACATTGCGACGGGTCACGAGCTAAGTCTGAGGTCACTGTTTGCCGTTGGCACATATTGTATACCTTGCGTGATACCATTTTGTAACTCGGTTGAAACTCGAGGGTTGTCGATCAAAATAATTCCGACAAAAAAGGAGTAGCAAGTAGCTCTAGCTCAAAAAAGTCAATATTGTTCCAGAAAAGTTCCACGGGTGGAATAACCGAGATACGTCGGCTTTCTAGAGTGGCCGTCTCAGAGACTGGGAGATGGAGGGAATCAAAATGGAAATAGAATTGTGGTGCCTAAATATTTTGCCTTGGCTCTTAAACTGCCGTTTTTTGATATTCAGCCCTATGACGTCGGATGCCTACCCGGCTTATTGTTCCTGTCAGAGTGGGTAGGATTGGACTTATTTCTGGCAGTCTGCCAACACTCAGATACCATAGAGTTGCATTAAGGACATTAATATGTAATGATATTAGATTAAATGAAATATACACAAAAGAAACTATACATAAAGCCAAAAGTCTACCTGCTTGTGTTGCCATCCGCATATACCTGCCAATTCTTTTCCATACATTGAAAATATCACATCAAGGTGACTGTCTCCTCGGTGTATGAAATTTCTGAGCTCCTCAATTGCATTCCTTTGGTCCCAAATCCTGTCAATGTAAAACTTCTCTGTTGAGATTTCTCTGATCTGAACTCCGGTTGCAAGTCTCCAGTAGCTTCAGGAGCTTCAGGCTCAGTGACTTCGGGCACTTCAATCCCAAGGTCAATATCTTGAATTCCCCAAACAGACCGACGGGGTGTCTGGATCCTGGTCTTTAAATATAGATCTAGTTCGTCGACATAATCATAAGCGGCCTTGCCGGTGATGGCGAGCCTCTCATAAGAGTCAAGTCCCCCTAAGCGCCACTCGGGCAAGGGTTTGCGCGTATTGCCCAGATCATAGACATAACATGGCTGACCCTTCTCGTCAACCGCCTTCCGACGGTCAAACTTGACATTGTGTCCAATCGGGGTGTAGTCCTTGATCTGCTTCTCCCTGAATCCCACCACTGGATGGATAAACTCAAAAGTCTCTCCCAGTAGCTTTCCATCTTTGTCGAAAGGATCGTAGCCTCCAGGTGTACGTCTCTTCGAGCCGTTGGCATAGTAAAGTGCCGTAAAGCTGTCTTCCAACGGGCCTGTTCCCCAGCCATAGCTGCGTCGCTTTTCCACAGACTCGACGGATGACGTGGGAGGCTTGAAACCCGAGGCTATTGCTGAAGCTTTTTGTTGAGCCCAACCTCCCAAGCTCCCATTATTGACTGTGTTTTCGACAAGCGTAGACATGTGGTATTCTCTCTCTTCTCTTTCATCGGAGAGAGCCTGGTCGTTGAGCGACAGGTAGGGTCTGATCTGGTCCAGCATCCAGTAGAAGGTGATATTAGACATTTCTTCCATGTCACCCTCATCTTGGAGCGTTTCACTTGATCCTCCGCCGATGTTAATGTGATAACCGGGGAACCACACTTGTTTCAATGTTCGGGGGTGGTGCTGGTGCTTGTGGTCGTCTTCCAACTTTATGAGCTTTCGAGTCTCCTGGTTCAAGGCTCTGGCAGTTTCGTTTAACTTTCGAGCTGCATTGTTGACATCCGCGCCCTTAGCCTTGCCGCTACCCTTCAGGCGGATCGCGTCCTGCAGGATTTCGTCCCATTCTTTAGCTTTCTGACGAACCATATTCCTCTGGATTTGTATCTGCTCTGAAGTAACGTTTCCTAATTTGTGGAGATACCACAGGGTAGGCGAAAAGGCGTTGCGGTGTTCATCGAGAGCCAGAGCCTGGAATGCATGTTTGACATCTGCGGACCGTTTGTCAGTATTGTGCTCAGCGTAAAACCACACTGAGGCAAAAAGGCAAAAGGAGATTTAAGCTACTTACTAGGTGAAAGTCCAACATTTTCCCACCCATCCTTATGCGGCGACCACCACATGACCCACGAGGGCAGCTTAATTCCCAGCACCTCAGGCATTCCAATAGCGCCGACCGTATCAAAGACACCAACGACTTCAACATCCCTTGACCCCTCTTGAGCCCAGTCACCCTCGGGACGCTTTTCAAATACAAAAGTCTCGCCTCGAGCGCCCTGATTCTCATCAGCCTTCCCATCCATCCACTGAAACCAGAGGTCACTGCAGTAGAATCGCTCTCCGGGCTTATTTTTCTTATAAACCTTCCAGAGGTCAGGAAACCGGTTCAAATTCTGTTTACTGCAAATACCAATATCCGAGATCAAACCAGCAATGGCCCGGGCCGTGAACGCGCCCCTCGAGAAACCAAAGCACATAATCTGATCGCCGGGTCTGTAGTTCAGGACACAGAAGTTATATGCTTCGATAACATTCCCTTCCAGGCCAAGGCCAACGGCGCCTTCGAGTGTTTTCCCCAAAGGACCTGAGGTTGTGCCGATTCCGGAATCGTACCAGACTATTTGTTGCCATTGGTTCCCGTCTTCGTCGGTTCCGACACCATTCAGAGTGCGGCAGAGACGTGTCACGTTAGATGGGACGTTTTTCTGCCCTGAGACGGCGGATTGCCATGTTCCGTCGCAGCAGATGATGATGCGTTTGCGGATAGGCCGAGCCGTTGAGTCCTTTCTTTGTCGAGCTATGTATGTTGGCTCATGAATATCGGAGCATAGAGACATTATGTAAGTACGATGTAGTTTAACTAATGTGCTGAGAGAGGGGATTTGAATAACGTCTAGTAGGTGGGTACGACTCTATCTATATATTTTTTATTTACACCCTAGCCTATATTTTTATTAGTGTCACACAAATGGGGTCCATCGCGAGGTCGCGTTGAATCATCTATTTTGTCCACCTGCATGAAGCCTCCCGCGCTTATACAGCCTCAAAGACCACCTTGGGAAGCCTAACCCGATTTCAAGTCACCCAGCTGCCACATTGTTCGTGTTCTCTTCAGCTGCGGCAGGGATGAAGGCACTTCATGGGATCAGCTTACCATAGCCAAGCCAATAATCACTCAGCCATCAATGCGGATGGCCCCAGCTGCGTCAGCCCCACATGCTCAGCCTTATCTTCAGGGTGCAAAGATCAGCGACAAGGCGGGCTGGCCGTAGACTTTCCCAGCGTCAGAGATAAAAATACATGAGATGGAATTTCCAAGGTTGCTTGTGCCAAAAGCCGGGGTAAAATATGCGGATGACCCTGATCAGGGGGGGGGAGGGGGACTGTATCAATACGCTGAAACTCCCGAGATCTAAATAAATCAATAAATCCTCGTACGTATTAAATTTTTCTATCTATTCCCCTCTATCACTGTTTGTACAAAGGTCTTCTGTATCTTGACATGATTTGGCGAGAGTGGCTCGGGGTACAAGGCTTCCTGACTGCTGTTGCTAATGCTCAATTTATTTCTCCGCTGCGACGAGACTGCGACAATTGTACTCTTGTTGTTGTCGGGGGTGACATCAGGGCGCCAGTATCTCGTGTTTTGCGATTCTCTGGCGGCTTCACTTTGCAAGCTGGACAGTCGGTATTGCTTTGAATATTTTCCCTGACGGGGTGTCTTATGACTATGAGTCGAATTTGCATCCAGGATCCAGCGGAATAAAGGCCGAAGAGTGATGAGACTGCCTGCTGTAATTCCAAGGCCGGTCTCAATAAGAGACCAGATGGCGATTTGGTAGGTAGAATCTGGAGGATATTAGATTTTGTCCTGAGGCAATGGGATGGTTGACATACAAAGGAAATTATCATCGGTATAGAATCGTAGAAATGGAAGCCGGCATATCACTGCCACAGCCGCACTGTTTATGGTTAGCAATGGATTCATCTCCAGAACGGGCCAGATATATCACGTACATGGCCCCTAACCCCAGGATTCCTCCTACTGCAAACTTCATCCGGCTATTCATTTGCAGTTTCCAGACGAGGAAAGCGGGTAACAGGCCAAGTGCTATGTCACAGCATATAGCCACACAGCTGTAGAAATAGGTAATATCCAAAATTGTGGACATGGACAGACATGTTCCCTTGCTAGTTCCATCCACTCGTTCCCAGAAGTGGGAGATCGGATTACAGGCCAAGAGTAGCACAAGCCAGAACATAAGTCCGACAGTAATGACGACAGAAATAATGCTCCAAAGTATCAGTCGGTAAGACTTTTTGACAGCCAACCGGAGAAGTGCAACGGAAATTGATATTTTCGCAACTGCTGAGGCCCATACGTAGAGCATTTGAGCAAGCCACCACCACTACAGAACATAGTTAGCAAGGGAATCTTCCAATATAAATGTCACATACCACAAGTGCTTTCTTATAAACCTCCATACTGGGAAAATCCGTACGCGTATGCCCTACCCCATTCATTGCCCCATTTATGCCGCAAATACTCAATAGTGTAAAAAGAATCTATAGCAAATTAGGACTCTATCACACCATGGCACATCATACAGGGTCACGATACCAACGCAGCAACCATTAAAGCATCATCCCAGCCAAACGCTCGGAGGATATTCACTCGCACAAAACTTCGTAATGCAACCGTCACAATGGAAATAAACATCATCACAATTGAGACGATGAAGATAGCGAGACTTCGGCCCACGAGGGGCATTGCGGCTCCCATTTTGATGCTCTAGTTTTTCACTCAAAGGCCTAGTCACTCATTTATTGCCCTCCTAATTTGAATTTTCTCAGTCGTACTTCGACGCGAGTCGGGGGAAAAAAAATTCGCTGATGAAGGACCAAAATAGAAAGGACCCAAAAAAATTACAAAAGGGAAATTTTTCCGAAGCAGAAGCTGTCTACAATCAATAAGGGGTTCATATATTTTCTAGATTAACCAAAATCCCCGGATACGCCTTAGCGAAGGATCCATCGAAACCAATGTTAGTGGCTTGGTAAAATCGTTCACAGTCATCGCCTAGTCCAGCGCCTCAATCGCGATTATAGTGACATAGGGGCGTATAGCCCCCACGTCCTAGCCCTATTCGAAACCAAAACCGTGCGCCATGCACAAAACAATGCCCGGGTTTCGTAGATTATAATTACAGGAGATGCCGAGAAGCCATCGACCAATGATAATTGATGTGGCTTTCCACGACCTATCCAGCTAGCGAAATGGTGGACTGTTTGCCGAGATCTCCTATGGGCAACCTAAAGCGGGTTCAGATGTGCTCGGCAGATCTGGCCAGGGGGCGTTCTTGTTTCAGAGGGACAATGGTTATTCTTATGGTGTTCCGGCAGTTTTATTGTGTACAATATGATCACCATAGTATAATTGATCCTCAGAGCAATACAATATAATATATTATTACCATGAAACCCCTGAGTCAAAATTCCATATTATTGATGCGATGTACTAGGTATCCACTGCTGTGTTGGGAAAAGTACACATCGTAGTGACTGGCTTGTGTAAATTTTATTGTGGATTTCTAGTGGGGATAATAAGTTGATTGTCCAATATATATGTAACGTACGGACCCCCTTGGGTACAGAGATAAAGTCGCATCGCAGATCAGATAACAAGGCTTACTGTACAGGGTAGTTCTACAAAATTCAAAGTGGGCTTTGAAATGATCCTCCAAAAGCGGGTTCTTTTGAGATCTTAGATCTCATTTTGTTAGACCACACTCGCCTTCTCTACTAGTGTGCTACGGCTTCTGCCAGCATGTCATTTTATATGCTTGGAGGTAGGTTGTGTCCACGTGGAAGCCTTTGCTTATGTACAACATAGGAGCTAGACCGAATGTGAGATCTAGTCCGGAGACTGATTCCCGGCGTTAGCCTGATCGCAGTGATCGCAGTTCAACGAACGGCCAAAGTTATTGGCCCAAGGAGAGGAGAACTTCCTAAAAAGATCGGAGATGTTCCTTTCGAAGAATGTATAACCGAGAAATAGATATGTATTGAATTCTTCAGAGGCAGTCGGTTGTTCCTTCGGTTCTCCGCCCTCGGAGTTGTGGCCGAGATCCCAACTGGAGGCTTCATAGATCTTGATCTTTATTAGCAACGAGCTTCCCCGCTCTTCTCTGTTTTGTGCTTCAGATATCGATACTCAGAGACTCTAAACATATTCCTGTGGCTATCCAACTTTTTATAGTATCACAGAGCTCAGCTATGTATGGAGTTCCACCACACAAACATTGCGGAATGTTCTTTTTGCTCACATAAAACAAGGGTTTATACTGCATCTTTTGCTTTCTTCGAAGCTCTCTGGGAGGTATGTATAACATGTAGTAGCACTTTTACTCGGCAAACATTCAATTCTAACCTTGGCAACCCCAGGGCGGCGTCAGCCATGTCTTTGTCAACTTGGGATCAGACCACCCATCTATCCTCGAGGCAATGGTGAAAGGCCAGAAAGAAAAGAAAGACCAGTTCCCTACGATCATCACCTGTCCCAATGAGGTACGTTAACGGTTGCACCATGCGACTCACCAAGCGTAGCGACAGCACTACGGCTAGAATCGGTAGTATAAATGAGAGCTCTGCTTACAAAATGTGTTATTTAGATGGTGGCACTGTCCATGGCGGACGGCTATGCCCGATTAACCGGAAAGCCACAAGCGGTAATCGTCCATGTCGATGTCGGCACGCAGGGACTCGGAGCAGCAGTTCACAACGCCTCATGTGGACGCGCCCCGGTATTGATTTTTGCCGGTCTATCACCTTACACGATCGAGGGTGAGATGCGAGGTTCACGCACGGAGTATATCCACTGGATCCAAGACGTGCCGGATCAGAAGCAAATCGTCTCCCAGTATTGTCGGTACACGGGTGAGATCAAGTCCGGCAAGAATGTTAAACAGATTGTCAACCGCGCTTTACAATTCGCAACTAGTGATCCACAGGGGCCTGTGTACCTCGCTGGTGCGCGAGAGGTCATGGAAGAGGATATCGAACCATACCAGCTGAACCAGGCTGTCTGGGGTCCTGTGGCACCGGCTGCGCTGCCAACCTCCGGTGTTGAATTGATCGCATCTGAGCTTGCGGCTGCGAAGAGCCCTCTTATCATTACCGGATATTCTGGGAGAAAATCTCAAGCTGTGACTGAGCTGGTCGCATTGGCAGATAGCTTCAAGGGAATCCGTGTGCTGGACACTGGTGGTAGCGACATGTGCTTTCCCGCTAACCATCCGGGATGGCTGGGACTGAGATATCCAGGCCATGATGCGGTGGGAGCATCCGATCTAATCCTTGTGGTAGACTGTGATGTCCCTTGGGTGCCTACCCAGTTCAAGCCATCTGGGTCGGCCAAGATTATCCATATCGATGTGGACCCTTTGAAGCAGCAGATCCCAGTTTTCTATATTCACTCAATGGCTACATTCCGCGCCGACGCTTCGACGGCGCTCAAGCAAATCAACGCTTACGTTGCCTCTCAGGAGTCTCTGCAGCAATTTATTGGCTCCAAGGAGAATATCACTATGGGCCAACGCCGAGACGAGGAGTATTCGAAGCGTCGACAAGAAATTTCCGATCTAGCTGTGGTCCCGGGGGGCGGTAGCGGAGCCTCCTTGAATATCAACTACCTCATGGCGCAGGTCCGCCAGGGCGTTCCAATTGATACCATCTGGGCTATCGAGGCTGTGACCATGACCCACTTTGTTGCGGATCAAGTCTCAGCTACCCAGCCCCAGTCTTGGATTAACTGTGGAGGTGGTGGCCTCGGCTGGTCTGGCGGTGGTGCACTTGGCATCAAGCTTGCCAGTGATATGCAGCATGGAGGACGTGGAAAGGGAAAGTTTATCTGTCAGGTTGTCGGTGATGGAACATTCCTCTTCTCGGTACCTGGATCTGTGTACTGGATTTCCCGTCGTTATGGAATCCCCGTTCTGACAATCGTGCTGAATAACAAGGGCTGGAATGCCCCTCGACGCAGCATGCTGCTCGTTCACCCTGAAGGTGACGGCTCTCGTGCTACCAACGAAGACCTCAATATCTCCTTTGCACCTACGCCGGATTATGCCGGTATTGCCAAGGCCGCGGCAGGTGGCGAGTTGTGGGCTGGCCGTGCCTCGACTGTCGCTGAGCTTGCCAAGAAGCTTCCTGAAGCCATCCAGAGTGTTCTGAGTGGAAAGGCAGCGGTACTGGAAGCGCAGCTCGATGGGACCACAGGCAAATATGTGGAGAGTTCGTGAAAGCATGAAATTGGGAGCTTAGGAGGTACTTGTAGAGAACATGGAAATTTAGGAGAAGACCGAAAAGTACTCGGTCCTTTGTTTTGAAGAGACCCAAGCTAGTAGTTGGTGATTCTGTGTAGTATGTTGTACCTTGCGCCCTTACAAAAGATACAGCTACTGTAATGGGTAACTATATATATCTGAGTGTTAGTAAAGAAGTATAGCCAGACAGGTATACAGGAGTCCGAATGGAAGTGCATTATATACTTTGCTCATCATACATGCGAATTGTTTGCACATTTCATATCCTACATAAGCTACAAGACCAACACGGGCTTTTTTTTTAGAAACAGAGAAATTTATAAAGAAATTAGAAAACAGACTACCGAAAAAGACGTGATAAGACTACCTGCATGCATGTTGATGGATGTGGTGAAAATAAAAGTATAACAGCAATGTATATTTTGTATGCACAACACCTACAAAAGATACCTGAACCTATCCCAGCTTCAAAAAAAAAATTAGTACCCCACGCCCTTTGACATGCCAGTGCATACAGAGAGGCATGCGCCTATAGCCATTGATCCCCAAAATTGGAGAAAAAGTAAAAATTACACTCGACATTATAGTACGTTGCTCTTATCTTATAAAATGAGTCATGTGGTTCGGAGAAAGTTATCGGGATGGAGAGAGGTCAACTTCCGCTCCGCTTTCGCCGACTTGACCTTTGTAGCAACTTTGGTTTCTCCATCTTTCTTATATAGCCTGCTTTGCTACTCACAGCGCTCACATAGACCAATACTCCAAATACGCTATATACCCCCCTCCGCATAACCCCCGCATACCCCTCCGATTCCGCCTTTCGCATTTACACCGCCAACCCAATATGAGTCCACCGACACCCGTAGATGTCAACTTGGTGGGCGTCACCGATACCTCGGCTGTCCCTATCCCGGATCCATTGACTGTCAATGGCGTGCCAGCATGGAGAGAGAAGATGGCTAAGATCCCCACCGGCGTGGCCGCGGCATCCAGCAGTGATATGTTCAAGAGCCCGGTATGGTAATTCTGGATTGGACTTAGGCGTCGCGAGGATATGGGCGAAAGAAGTCAATTGCAGGATGTGGAATGCTGATATGTGCTTGTGACTATTAGATCTGCTATACTAAGCCCAAGGCTAAGCGGTTTGAGCGTATGTTTACCTTAACCCTTTCTGAATCTATACCAAGTTCTTTTCACAATTGTTCTACTTATACTAACTCGCATGCGACCCTAGACCATTTTTCACTCGAAGCCAAATCTCGCAAGGTTCGCACTCAATTGCGCGATACGAAGTTCATCTTTGCTAATCCGGTCACCTTAGGCGTCCACATTGAAGACTGCCGCTCGTTACCTGAAAACCCCAGGTAATATTTCGGAATACTTTCTTTTTTCTAGGAATCATGGTCTAATTTGATTCTCAAGGTCTTATTTCTCTCGGTGGTGGACTTCCCTCGCCTGA